GATAAGTAAACATTTTAAAATTACGTTGATAGTAAAATGTATGGAGGAAAGGACATATTAAGTATTGGAACAGACTTGCCAACCTTAGCCTTTTAACATTAACTTATCTTCATTTAGAATATATATATATTTTTTAGAGTAGAGATCCAGTGTTAACATTTTTCTAGGTTTTAATAATTTTTATTACAATTTAAAATTAGTCTTATTAACTTTAAAAAACACTTATAGGTTATTAGTTTTATTAGTTTATTAATGTACTTAAAAGTTACAAAAAATTCTTAGTAGATCAGAACCCTTTCCTTGATATGATTATCTGATACATAAAGATTAAACTACAGATTCTGTTCTTGCTTCAATTCATTTTGCTGCCAAAATTAGTGAAATGTATCTGTTCACATTCCCATTAGTACATACAATAAACTAATAACTAAGTATATTTTATTAAAGACCTTCATAGCTTATGATTTAATGTTTATTATGTTTATAATAAACTGTATTTAATTAAGCAGTATTTTTATATCACCACTTATTTCATATTCCAGCTTTTTGTAATTAATGAAGTATTTGAGCTTACTTACACTATTGCATTTTGCAAATTTATATTTTTCCTTTTCCCCTCTTTCTGTTTTCTTTTAGAAATTAACACTTTATATTTTAATCAATAATTCTTAAAGATTGTCAACATGTTTACCAATTATTTTGTTCATCTTTGTTTCTTCATACTACAAAATCCTTCCACAATCAATGATTTTTCTTTTGGGGGAGCGTTTTTGTTTTTTTAAATAAATTTCAGATTAATGTGAGAGTACACTTAGGTTACAATGTTTGCATTTGTGAGAATGAATCCCTATTGTAGTTGTGCCCTGCAGCCTGAAGGTGGAGAATAAATTATTTTTCTTATTGAAATGTAATCTGGGAGAGTTTCTTCAGTTAATATCTATGATTGACAATCGCTCATACAAGGTACTTTCTTGGGACACAAGATTTCCTCTCAGCCTATTTGAAACTGTAGTCTCAATCAGTGAGAATTCTATTGTAAATTTAACTTCATTATTTTATATGCAACGTAGGTACTTTTTCTGGTTGCTTTTTAGATTTTTCTCTCTTTGTGATATTCTGCATTTTTACAATGTGAATATTAAAATGATGTTTGCTAATCACCTATCATCTATTATTATAGGCATTAAGACTTCAGGCCCCAGAGTCTAAAACCTAAACCCAAGTCTGGAGTCTCAGTGCATTATAACAGCATTAGTTTTCCCTCACCACTAGGTACTTATTTCTTCATATTTGTTTTCTATGTTGGTTTGGTTTTTGTTTGCTTGCTTGCTTATTTATTTTTAGCTTGTTTATTCATGTTTGCAAAAATCCAAAATGTAGTTGGAGGGCACAGGCTAAATTGACTCGAGATATTTTATGACATGATTTGTTAAACATTCAACCCACAGTGCAGAGGACCTGTCTCTCATTTTTTTCTCTAGATTTAGTTCTTCAAATTTCAGCCTTCTTTCTTCCCCAAAGCCACACTTTATACTCAAATTTAACTTATAGGTGGGGAAAGAAGCCTAGAGAAAGAATGCCCAAAGACTAACAATACAATGAAGCCACTTCTAAAAATATAATCCACTGATTCACTGAACATTTTTTTAGTAGTTTTCGATTTTTAGAGTAAGCAAAGATTACCAGAGAAATAATTAAACCTGCAGAATTCAGAATCCCGTCCATAGACATTTTAATACAATAGCTCTGAATGAGAGTTCAGGAATTTGAATATTAAATAAGTAACCCAGTTATTTCAAATATTTGTACTTTGATTTATTTAGTGAATTGAGACTATAATTGGAGAGTTTTAAAACAAACACGCCCCTGACATGAGTTTTTTTTTTTTTTTACACTTATACTTTTCTATTAAAAGCAGAACAAAGAAGGCAGTGCCCCTAGCACAGTCACTGACCACATACACCTAGACTGGTGGGTTCAAGCCTGACCTAGGCCTGCTAAACAACAATGACAACTGAAAAAAAAAAATAGCTGGGCGTTGTGGTGAGCGCCTGTAATCCCAGTTACTTGGGAGGCTAAGGCAGGAGAATTGCTTAAGGCCAAGAGTTGGAGGTTGCTGCAAGCTGAGACGCCTCGGCTCTCTGCTGAGGGCAACATAGTGAGACTTTGTTTCAAAAAAAAAGAAAAAAGAAAAAAAGCAGAATAAATGGGAAAAAATCTACTTAGTCAAGGGTTCTACTTATCTTGCTTATAATAGAAGTTTATAAAGCCTCCTAATAGCTGCTAAATTTATCTTTTCCTAAAAGGTATTTACTTATAAAAAATTTATTTGAGCCAAATCTTATTTTAAAATAATGCAATGGGAAAAAGTCACCACTGCAAAGATCCTGACATTATGTGGAAACTTTCTACCATGACAATTTTGTCTCAGGATAAATTAGGGAATTCCATAAAATTACCAAGGCATAATTTATGGAAAGCTGAGTCAAGAAACAGGTGAAATGATGAATTTGCCCTCTTCCTCACTCATAAATTTCTAGGATGTGGGCCCAGAAACTCTAAATCAAATGCTAAGCTCACATAGATTTATGCCATTTATTTCCTTTCACTGAGAAAATAAAGAGGTAGATGATCTACGTGTATCTTGCCAGCTGTTCCACAAACCCCATGCATTGAGTGCAAGTATCAGCAGAGATGCCAGTGCTTCAGTGGCTCACAGCTTACACATGTCCCAGCACCTGGCTGATGGAAGCCACTCTTGAAAAAGATTTGCATCTGTGCACTATGAGTTTGGCTACAATGCTAGCTAGCATTCCACTTCCAGATGGCTCCCATTACCACCTAATTATTTTAAACCCTGATTTTATTTCAAACAATTTACCATTGTCAAGGGTCACCTCCCAGTACAATATTGCTGAGATCAAATATTTTTGGTTCTAGGTCTATGGTTATGAGAGTTCAGGAAGGGCCTTTTTTAGAGTGATTCATAGGTCATTCAGCAAAACCCATGGATAAACTAAAAATCAAATATTAACACTTTAATAAAACTATAAACAATTTTTATAACAATAGGCAGAGTCACAACTATCATTTATTTGTTTTAAATTTCTGTCCCAATAAACAAGTTGGAAAGAACCAAACTATCTATTTATTCATTTACTCATTCATTTATCAATTCTTCTGATCATTGTTGAGGGCATATTATGTGCCTCAGTAAAATGAAAAAAAAATAAAAAAAAAGCAGACTCATGTTCTCAAAAAAAAATTGCACTCTAATAGAAAAAGAGAAAATTACAACTTACTGTCAAAATCTTATAAAAGATATACCTAGAAATGGAATATATATTAAATGATCAAAATTCTGAAGATTTTTATCTCCTTTTACGTTTTTAGGCTATATTTTCTAGTCTTAATATTGATTAAAGATATATGAATTTGAGGAAAAGGAAATAAATTTGATTTCATAATTGGATACAACTCAGTTTGATCGATTCTGTTTACTATCTTCAGTTTCAATTTAATGTAAGATATAGTATATTCATATAATTAACATATTCTGCATCCTATCAGGATATTGTTTAACTAGTTTTGCCCATTTGGGGCACCCGTTGTATCTCACAGCCTAGTAGAACTAGCACAATTGAATATGTTGAGTCTATACAAAGCACATACAGGGTAGCTTGAAGGGTTTTTGTTAGAACGCAAATTTCAGAAGGCCTCAAAAGAATTTGTTGAAAATGATTAAACTCAAACTCTAGAATGAGAGCTTATGGATTTTTAAAGACGTGCGAATACTGGGGGTTAGGAGGCAGAAGTATGCAAGCATTTTTTCGATAACAGTTCTGGACCACTAGTTATGTTTTTTTCCAAATTGGGGGATTCTCTCCTTTGTATTCCATTCTGCTCTTTCCTAGACCATTGTACTTCAGAGTCCTTGCATTTAGGATCTTCCAAAATACTCTCTTTGCTTTTGAACTTGCTTAAACATTCTAGTCTCTGAGTCTTCACAGTGGTTTTCTATGGGAGGCATAGAAAACATTTCCCTCCAGCAGAATGCATGAAGTATCCCACGTTTTCCCCTCTATTTGGGCTCCGTGCCTCCTCCTCATAACTGAGTACTCTGATTCTTACTGTCTTGCCTTTACTCCCTCTGGCCATATAAACCCATGGCTACAGAAGTAGGATAAAAGTGATTTAAACTGCCTTTTAATCTGTAAGTGTAATTATTTCTGAGTCCCCCATGGTGCAGAATCATGATGCTACCTGTGTAACATATTAGATAGTCCTAGTGGTAATGGCTCAGGAGAATTATTAGTTCATCACTGCACATCAATTATGTATATATTGTTACTTCTCTCTGCAAGCTACCACTAGTAGAAATATAAATTTTGATGTGTTGATATTTCAAAAGTTGATATATTTCTATGGAATTTGGATGCTAAGTTCTCAATAGATTGCTGATTCATATGTCTCACAATGTCAGCGAATCCCTTGCGAGCGTGCACTGAGCTATGCTATAGTATAGTGAGCCTTTCATTGTTATTATAATACTGTGACTTAAATCATAAGCCATATATTCTGTGTTTGTCTTAAGTTATAATGTTGATTTGCCTTGTGAACTTAGAATCTGCTCCTATATACATGGTTTATTTATTTAACCAGTAAGAATAATGTCATAATAATCAGCTGATCTTAACATACTTTGAAATGTTTCAATTATCACAGGTTATCACTGATAGAATTCTACACTATGTATAGAAGTGATGCATTCCAATTACATAGTCTATGTTGTTCTTTAGGAAGAATAATTTCTTCTTTTCAGAAGGTTAATTCATGGCCCTCCGTACCACAGTTAAGATGTCATTGAATCAAGACGGGAAGTTTGATTACTCTGTAATCAAGTCTGAATATTTTGCAGAAGTTGCTTAATTCTATGAAAGTAAAGACCTTTGTCCTGGATTTCCTTTGGGTAAAAGCAATTTGTCAATAAACAGCAGCGTCTACTCACGTTTATCTTGTTCTGCTTCTACCCCTTCACTTTCTGTGTCACTTGGTAAGATCCATGGTTGATGAACTACTTGCAGTTGCTTTAAGGATTCATCCTGCCAAAGAGCAAACTTCTTTTAGATTAACTTCTATTTTGATACCATGAACATTAAGATGGATGATCTCTTTAATATCCATGAATTCCATGTTCAAAACCATAGGAATAATTTCCCCACCACAAAGAAAAACTCTAAGTTTAAATTTATTTTCATGTCATAGACATACTGCAAACTCTCAACTTCTTTTAAGGAGATTTAGAGTCTTACTAAGAAATAACTAAGCTATGTTTGTCCTGAATTAATATTTTTATGGAAATATTTATACTTATTCTTGGGAATGTAATTTAATTGTGAAAATATTCGATATAAAATGGCATAATATGTTCCCCTTTGCTCTCAAGATTTCAAATCCTCACTAATGAGAAAGACTAGTAGGATTTAGAGAGCATCTTAAATTTTACCCTTCTCATTTTTTTACTTTTGTAAACTAGTTTTTACTTCCTTGTGACTCTTTGCCTTCTGTCACTGAGCCTCCTCTCCCATTTTGACTGTAGTAGTAGCCGTCTAGGAAGTTCTCTAGGATTGAGTTTAGTACCCTTTTTGACTCTGCCACCGGTCACCTGACAGAAGGAGCATTTTAAGGTGCTAGATGATGAAATCATTATCTGCCTCACAATCCTTCAGTGGCTTTCTCATTATTCCCAGGATAAATTTAAACTCAAGGCCCTTCCTGATTCATACTCATCTAGCCCAATCCATCACACTGCCATCTCCATGTCCTCTTTGACCCCTCCAACTATAATTAACTGGTAGTTCCTTAATTTGGTCATAGTCTCTAATTTTCTGAGATGTTTTACAGTGCATTTTCTTATCTGCCTCAAATATTCACACTTCTCCTCTAAGGATCAGGGGTTACCTGATTCTTCCCCTACTAGAAACCTTCCCTGACACTCCAAGGAAAAAATCATTCCTTTATTCCTTTAGGTGCCTTTTGTACCAGTATAATAACTATTACATAATAATTATCCTTTTATAGCTTCCTGTTTCAATAATGAAAAGGAAGGTCCTTGAGGTCATGGGTAACTTTTTTCCCCCATGTGTTCTCTTCATCTGTATAGTGTCTGGCACAAAATAGAGACACACCATGCAAACGTTTGTAGAGGAGAAAGTAAGGAAGAAAAGAAGGGAGAGGAAGGATGGGTTTCCTCTAGAACAAATATTTTATAAAATTAAATTTCTTGACTCATGATTCAAGAAAATCTTTTCAAACATATTTTAAAAAATAACAATATAAAGGATGTCAGTTCATTCTTCTGATCTCTCAAATTCATTCGTATCACCCTCTTTCAATGATCTTTTTGTCTAACTTGAGGTATTTTGCTTTATTTTTATCCATACAAATACTAACAAGATAAAAATAAAGACTCACAACCACCTATTTTTAAGAAACATGACATCACCGGACATTTAATGTCTGCTTTGCTTAAAACAGTTCCTTTATGAGAGAAATATCCTATCTACTATCCATTAACTAGTGATGGCAGCTTCTGGAAATGTTCAATCTAAATCTAGAATTGCAACGAAGTACAATTTTTAAAGAGATTGAGGGTGGGATAGCGATTATATTAGTGAAACACAAGGGATATCTCAGGGCAATAAAACTATTCTATATGACGTTATAATGATAAATACAAATTTTATGCTTTTCTTAAAACCCATAGAACTTTATGCCACAGCATAAACCTTAATGTATGCAAATGAAAAAGATCAATAAGGAATTTGGGGAGTCCCAAGAATGAAAGGTAAAGTACTAAATAAGGATACGAATGCATTACAGATATATGAAACAACCTTGCTGAAGCAGGTGAGGAAATAGGATGCTGAGCTAAGTAATGTTGAAGATGAGTGGAGTTTGTAAGATTTAGGTTAAGGGAACTCTATACATCAGAACTGCACTGTGGTGATACGTTGTTTCCCACGGGCATGTAGGTTAAGGATTCTGAAACCATTCTCTCCTATTCTGCCAGTGAACTGTGAGGGGAATGGACGGCTGGTTGTGGAAGTCGATATCTCCCTGCTGGCATGGAAGTCTACAGACAAGCAGGGCAAGGAGGTTAGAGTGGCCCATGTGTAATGTATTAGAGCTGAAGACATCAATATGAACTCATGTTTAGCTTGCTATGTATGAGCCTGACAGTTAAGTCCATGAACTTATCCTAGAAAAAATGCCACATACCTACCTCATTGCTGAATACCAATATGGTCACCTTCAAAGTACTCCCCTTGGGAAGCCATGCACTGACACCAGTGCCTAGTTCATCCTTTAAAGCAATTTTGGAACTCTGTTCCTGGAATGACCGTCAGAATTGTCATCGTGTGACACACAAAAACACACAATAACAATGAAGGCCACTCAGCAAGACATTGCCACATGTTGACACAAACACAGCTGTGAGACACTGATATCCCAAGGTTATGAAACCTTATCAAGTTATTTGACAGTGCTGTCAACGTAAGCACAATATGGCAAACTCATAAAATTAATTGTCAGATCTCACACACAGCTGTGTGACAGCTCTGATGGTCACTCCAGAAAAAGTTCCCAGATTGCTTTGAAGAGTACACTAGGCTCTGACATCAGTGCATAGCTTCTGAAGGGGAGTACTTGGAAGGTGACTGCAGTGGTATTCAGCAATGAGGTATGTGGAGTATTTTCTACGATGACTTTGCAAACTTAACTGTCTAACCTTGTATACAGATTGCTACATATAGGAACTATTATGTATATGTACATATAAAATACATGTATATGCACATATATTCATATATTTCTCTGGTCTTGCATCTGAGAAAGCTTAGAAACAATGACGCTCAGAAGCAATGAACATACCCACCACTCAAATCTCAGTGTCTAATACCATTCCCCAGTGAAAGAACTAAGGCTCTTGGAGAAATGATTGATTCTAGGGCTAAGGAAGGAAATATACTAGATAAGCTGAAGTATCCTATAATGTCAGAAAGCAAGATAGTGTCAAACACACACACACACACACACACACACGTACACACACTCGCTCACAATGATGGGGGCATTTCAAAGGGATAAAGGAGCTAACTGAAAAGCTGTCAGTAGCCAAAGCTAGAACAATTTTAACAACAAAATAAATAAGGCCCCATGGGATCATTATTTAAATAACTACCTATGACTCCATATTGATAAAAATAAATGATCATATAAATGAATGAATACATGAGAATAGGCAAATGTGAATGCAGGCAGATTTCAAATAATTTATATGGATACTCCATCCTTAAGGAGGTAGGGGATAACTTCCCACTTAAGTGTGGACAGTGTATAGTGACATTCTTTCAAAGAGTATAGCATGGAAAGAGAGATTTTTTAAGAAGCAGCTTCACAGCAGGGAAACCTAACAAACACTACCTCAAGCCAGGTGATCAAGCTCAACAGAGGTAAGTCACATTGAGACGATGTATCCTTAATAGAATGGGGTGAAAATGGAATTTTACTTCTGTGGTCTTCCTCCTAAAAACATATCATCCCAGTCCAATCATAAGGAAAATATCAGACAAATATCAATTGAGGGACAGATTATCAGACAAGAACTTATCTCAAACTGTTACGGATATCAAACACAGAAAGACTGAGAGAGGGTCACAACCAAGAACAGACCAAGGATATTCCCAAACTTTACAGAATGTTTACAAAATACTCTCTATGTGTTGCCACCTCTTTGAGAAACTTTGTAATGAATATTTTGTAAAGAAAGCTACATCTGGATATAATTTCCCATTTTTCTCTATGTATGGTGACTTTACAGGCGACTTTTGGGACACTCTGTATTAAATCAAATGTAATGTGATATCCTGGATGGAATCTTGGCACAGAAGAAGGACATTCGGGAGAACCGGTGGACAGCTGAACAGAGATTAGAGTTAGTCGCTGATGACATATCAGTGTTGGTGCGTTAACTGTGACAAACGTCCCACACTAATGTAAGGTACTAGACATAGTTAATACTGGGTGACAGGCATATAGGAACTCTCCATATTATCTTTCTAATTGTTCTGAAGATCTAAAGCTGTCCAAAAACAGAAGGTTTACTTTTGAAGTTAAAACAAAGCAACACAAAATTTCAAAAGTGATTTTTAATTTTAAAATAAAAGCAAAAGTATTTTTGGCACCAGCAGCTTTTGAAAATGGTCTGTTAAATGGACTAAAACTTAAATTCCTATCTTCTGAGAGATGGGCTCCACAGTGAAAAGACCTCGCCCCCCCGGGGGCAGGAGGGGCATCTTTCCATCCTGGTTAATCTAAGGCATGTTACTTTCCCCCTTGCGACGGGAAGGGAGGACATGCTGGATTAGAGGGTCTCTAGGGCTTGGCTAGTGGCAAATGCCGTTTGGTCTAGAGTCCTGTGGACAGCAGATGTGAGAGACACTAGGCCACTGTAGGGAAAAAATAAAAAAATAAGTACCTGTGTACACTCAGTTTAGGAATGTACCATTTAGGTACAAATGTTTATTGTTAGCATTTATCTTATTTTTTAAAAATATCAGTTATTGCTTCTGGCCTTGCAGAGCTATACCAAATAGGCAGTATCAACGTGAAAAATCTTTGATTTAAAATGCCATACCACTGTAGAGGGTGCCAGAAGCAAAATTTCAAAAATTTTGATATAACAAAGAAGAAAATGAAATTTCTCCAGTTTTTTTTTTTTTTTTCCCAAAAAGGGAACACAGTCTCTGATAGTTAACAAAGAAATGTGAAAAATAGTCACTCTGGCTGTGCAAGGTAGAATCAAATGGCTGAAACAATTCATTTTAAACAGAAAAGTTCAGTCTCCATGCAGTTTTCTTCAGTTGTAGCCCACACTAGTGGCATCCAGGAGGGTGGCAGTGGCTGCAGGAAGGGGGAATAGGAGGAGATTGGTAAGGGATGTGAAATTACAACTACATTGGAGGAATCAATTGTAACGTTCTACAGCCCTGGAGTCTATTTTTAACCACAATACAGAGTTTCAAACAGTTAGAAGCAT